ATAATCACTACTACTTATCGTTTCTTCATCACTATCAGGCTTCTTATTTTCAAAACTTTCCATTGCGGAGGTATATTCAAAAGATCTTATTAATTTTTAATGATTTAAAAACCACGTGACAAAAAAAACACACTAGATGCTAGACCGTTTTTTACTCGAACACCTACTCTGTGCGAAGGTTTATGCGGAACTGACGTTTCGCCACTACAGAACAGATTGTTTTTTTGATGCTAAAACCAGAGTCAGGGAAGTTCAGTAGCTGCGATAGAGGGTTCATCGCCAAACAAAACCACAACAGACTTACCGAGTCGTCTTGGAATAGGCTCCGGTTGATTGAGATATTTTCAGTTTCGATATTGTTGGTCTAGTATTTGTAGGGAATTTTAAAAAGTACAGTATTATCATCGACTTTATATATTCTTAATATATTTATAAGTCATTCATGCAGTACTTAGTCAAAGGCTTTTTTGTAATGAATATAGGCAATAAAAAGATTCCTTTTTTAGTACATGTCTGGTTAGAGATGACTGAGTCGATTATAAATTGTTTTTTGCAGTCTCTTCGCGCTGGGATATGCAGGATGTGATCAATTTGTACAGAGTTGAAAGACGATTAATTGAACGATAGTTTGCTGTATCGTGAGTGTTGTTTTGATCCTTCGGTATCAAATATGTTTTTCCCTGAGTAATGAATAGTGCTATTTTCTGTAGATTAGAGATAAATTGTATAGTAGTAATTATATAACATCCCACTATACATCTGTTTTATAGATTACCGTAAAGCGTTCGACAGGGTCAAGTGGAGACACTTATGGCGAATACTAAAAGAAGTAGGCGTACCACAACATCTAATTACGCTTATAACCGAACTATATGAACACACTACTGGATCAGTTAAAGTACTTGACACACTTTCGATCGAATTTCATCCAGAACGGGGTGTCAGACAAGGATGTATACTATCTCCACAATTATTCAACATATATGGGGAGTATATTATGCGAAGAGCACTTGAAGGATGGGAAAAGGGCATCTCAATAAATGGTCATAAACTAAACAACCTACGTTTCGCAGATGACACAGCCCTTCTTGCAAATAGTCAAGCAGAGCTGATAGAACTTATACGACTGATCGAAAACGAAAGTCAAATATTTGGTCTGCAATTAAACATATCAAAGACAAATATCATGATAGTGGATAGACTACACAACAATCATCCACACATAACCACAATTGACCGGTTCGAGGTTGTGAGCTCATACTTATATCTTAGATCATTAATCACAAACACAGGGTCATTACAAGAAGAGATTAAACGTAGATGTGATCTAGCAAAAGTTGCCACAGCAAAAATGACCAAAATATGGAAGGACTGTCAAATTTCAAGAGCGATAAAGATGAGTTTGATCAACTGCTTAATATTCCCAATACTGACCTACGGATGTGAATCTTGGACTCTGAGACAATCGGAGAGAAGAAAGATAGACGCCACTGAAATGTTCTGTTGAAGACGAATGTTACGAATTCCTTGGACCGACCGTAGAACAAATAATTATTCAATTTTAAGAGAGCTAAAAGTTAGCCAACGACTCTCTAGTAAAGTCCATCTCCAACAATTAAAATATTTTGGGCATGTTATGAGAGCAAACACAGAAAACATGGAAAGACTCATATTACAAGGAAAGGTAGAAGGCCGAAGATCACGAGGAAGATCCCCAACAAGATGGATAGATCAAATTACAGGAATATGCCAAAGACCTATACATGAATTAAAAGAAATGACCAGAGACAGAGATATCTGGAGACGGACAATACACGACATCACGTCGACCGCTACACTCCCCCTGGGGGGTCAGGATTGAAGAGAGAGAGAGAGAGAGAGAGAGATAAATTGAATAGTTAATACTTCTAAGTGCTCGTTAGCACTTTGCATCTTCATTAACCAGAAACTGTAAACTCCGTCTGGTTCTGGAAATTTTTATTTATGAAGGTCTTTGATGGCATTCGCGATTTTTTTCATAGTAAATGGTTCGCAAAAAGTATCACTGCAAGGAGTATCGCGGTGCTCATCATTATCTCTTCATATCTTCTTTATCTTTCCATTTCTCACTCCTTGAAGATATTCCTATGAAATAATTCAATTGTGTTTATTAATAATTTGTCGCTGGGTGGCGTCCTGGAATTAATCTGTTCGATGTCAGATCATAATCAAGTGGGACTTTGCTGATCGTAGATTTTAATGTCGAACGTAGTTCTTTTAGAAAAGTTTATTGGTAATAGCAGTGGACGGCTAAGTGGGTTTGCTCCGCTAAACTCTTGTACAGCATGGAACATTTGGCGTGCCAGTTAACTGTTCAGCTCGTTATTAGTCTTGTGCGGATTATCAGGTTGAATTTCTTGCATGGTAAATTTTGGGTTTATGCTTGGGCCTTCGACTGTGGACTATTATTACCTGCTGTTATTAGTCCTAGCTGGTGTTATCCCTAGGGGACTTGGTATACTGGAGCTTCTTCCACAAATTTTCTGACGCATGTAGACGTCGCGTCGCGAGCAGTACCGCGTTTTGCATGATATAAGTCCCAGCTGGTTGATGATATCAATAACTGAGAGGATAATAGGTATCGTTTGGGTACTTTACATTGGACATGTTCTTCTTATTTGTTTCCCAATATCTGTATATTTGGCTATTTTCTCGTTGTATTTAACACGCAGATTGTTGGTGTATGTATCGCCACATCAATTAGCTGCTTATTCTTCTTCGTTCTTGTATGTAGGCTTTAAGTCCTGTTTCTTCTTTAATATTAGCCTCCTAAATTGTTTAAATTGTCGCACCATTTATTCTTGGTCTGCCAATACTTCTTCGTCCATTTGGTGACTTATCTCGTGCTATTCGTACTATCCTATCGTGTGCCATTCTACTATTGTGATCGTTCCACTCCTGTTTCTGTTTTGTCTCCCATCCGTTTATATCTTCTATATTACATGTTCTTCTTATGTCTTCGCTTCTCTCCCTATCCAACAGACTTTTCCATTATATTCGTCGGAGTATTTTCATCTCTGTTGTTTCTAGATTTGTCAGGTCTTGTCTCCGCCGTGTATGTTAATATAAGTCTAATCGCTGCTTTATAGATTCTAGTTTTTCTGTCTTGTCTTAAGCGTTTGTTCTTCAAGATTGTGTCATTAAGAGATCCCAGCGCTTTACTTGCTTTTAGGCTTGTTGTCGTAGTTCTTCTTCAACATCTCCGTAACTAGTTATATCTTTTCCCAGATATCTAAACCTTGCTTGCTCTATAATATTTGGATTTCTTTGTTCCCCATTCTGTAACCTTGACCTTTTGCGTACTGCTTGTTAAGTGGGCTTAACGAGTCACCCTGTCTGACTGCTCTTTTTACTGATATTTACTGTATTAGTTTTCCATTTATCTTTACCTGCATTCGATTGTAGAAGTAGATGTTTTCGATGGTTTGTATAATATTGATTGGTATGTTTATTTTATACAGTTGGTGTAAGACGTCTTCGACTTGGATGCGATCGAAAGCCTTTGTCAGGTCTATAAAACATAGATATGCTGGTTTATTGGACTCGATGGCCTTTTCTGTGATTTGTCTTAGTACAAATACGGCGTCCACGCAGGATCTTCCGGATCTGAGTCCTTGTTGTTCATCTGATAAAGTTGTTAGTTTATTGATTTTGTTGGTTAGGACTTTTGTGGTAAGCTTAAGTGCGGTGTTCAGTAGATTTATACCTCTATAATTGTTGGGGTCTTCTTTATCTCCTTTCTTGAACATTGGTATCATTATGCTGTTTCTCCATGCGCCTGGTATCTTGCAGTGTAATATTAGTTTTTGTATAAGTTTCGTCATCTCAAAGATTATACTTTCTCCTCCGTATTTTAGAAGCTCGTTGGTTATTCCGTCTGGTCTTGGTGACTTTCTATTTTTGAATGAATTTATGGCTATCTCTACTTCCTGAAAACTGATTTCTGTTTTGTGTGTTAATTTAGGTACGTTATTGTGTTGATTACTATTTTCCTTTCCTTTAAACAGTTCCGTCAGGTATCTTTCCCATTCGTTTGCTGGTATGTTATTGTATTCCTTCAATTCTGCCATTTCTTCTCGCTGGTTTCTTATGAATCTCTATTGCAGTAAATACATGGCAACCACCTATAAAATATTGGATGGTTTGTATTTCTTTATTCTTAAAAAAACTGTTAGCCAACTTGTTCCTGTTTTTGCTTACGCTTTCTACACTTCTCCAGAGATATCATCTGATCTATCTGAGTTACCTTTCTGGATTTATTATCTCAACTCCTTTTATTAGTTTTCTGTTAATGATTACTTTAATAGTCTATCTCAACATATTCTTCCAATCCGTTTTTTACATCTGTTTTCTTTGCTAATATTTATTGTATTTCCAATAACATTGGGCTTATTTATTCTTATGAATACATTTTACTGGACATTTTCCGGGAGTGTGTCTTTAGCTGGGGATGATGGGGTACCTTTTGGGGATTGGTTAATATGCCAATCAACAGCAATTAATTACCAATAAAATATGCCGCCAAGATGGGCCATGTATGCCTTTTGCTTGCCGAGATGTAGCTATGGCTATGTTAGCTGTACCGTAAAGCTAGCATACCCACTGTTTCTCGAAAACAACTACAGCAATAATTTTTTTTTTCGTAATAAATTAGCAATAAATTATAGTTTTGGTCTGAATTGACTTAAAAAGTGAATATGCTAACTTTACCGATATGCATAAGCAACCTGTGTTGGTGCACCTACACTGCATTCAGTGCTTTTATTTCAAGTTCTATAAACAAATATATCAGTTCACTCTGCAGCGTTGCTTTTCCCACATATCACAATTTGTACTCTTCACCTAGTTTTTTCGCCTTTTGTTCTTTCCACTTCGTTTCTTGAATGCCAGCTATTGCAGCTCTTCTTTTCCATGTATTAATTCTTTGGGATATAGTACAGTTGCAGCAATAAAAGTAAATACATATATTTATATTTTATTTCTACCTCATATACAATCAAAGATGCTTACAAATTAAAAATGTATGGCCATTATATTAGTGTAGGATTTCACGGCTTTTGTCGTGTAATGGTACATTGGTTTTTGGGATTATAAGCCGCTATATGAAACTATTTCTTCCTGTTTCGGTCAGCGTTCATCTCCCGTGCTGGATATAGCTCCGACGTTTGCCTCATCGTGTTTGATAATGTTTGCAGCATAATTACAGGGCTGGCGAAATAATTACAAACCACGGCCTATAACCTGGAAACTAATGTATCATATTATTCTAGTACCAAAATTTTTGTTCATCTCTAATAGAGTTGATTAATTGTCATATACGTCCTCCTCTATATGTAGGAAGATCATACTGTTTTCTTTTTTTCACACATTTTACAATTAGATAAATGACTAGTACTAGTAGTAGTAAAAAGAGTAGAATTCCTAAGATTAATGCTGCTATTTGTCCTGGTCCCCACATTGCACCTAAAAAACATTTTGATTTGAAATTATTGAAAAAAATTAGAAATATATATATATATATATATATATATATATATATATATATATATATAGAGGAAAGTACCCAAATGTGGACCATCCTCCTAAAGCGGACCCCTAGCTTTCTTGGTACGTTTTAATTTAAATCGTAGCAGCAATGAGTGCAAATGGTATATTAGAGTTCCATGACTCAGTGGTGAAGTGCACAAGCCGGCTACGTCACTTATTGCTTGCCAGTCGCCTTGCACGTGTGTTGGTTGTGTGGAAAGTTTTTACGTTGTGTTATATTTTTTATTATTTCTTCGAGATATTAGCAGGTAAGCTATTCAATCTATATATTATTTTAAATAATAGGGTTTGGGGTCATTGTTTCTTACTAATATAGTTCATATAATGGTGTGGTTAAAAAATTATGACATTATTAAAATTTATGCTATAGTCGCTTAAACCGGACCCCCCGTAGTTGCCTAAATCGGACCCCTTATTTTTTAAATTTAAAACTTCGCTGTTATGCAACTTCGCACTTCTATCATTTTCAATTTTGTTACAGATTAAAAATCAATTAAATGGGGAAGATCGAACAGAGAAAGTGGAGTCCGTCTAAAATGACTAAGGCCATTGATGCAGTTCGAAATAAGAAGATGGGGTGGAAGAAGGCGAGTAAATATTTTAATGTGCCGAAGACAACGCTGATGAGATTAAGCAAAGATAAGTATGGTACGCCTATCGAAGCAGCACTAACAAAAAGAGGCAGACCTACAATATTAGGCAAAAATCTTGAAGGCGAGCTAGTCCAATATTGTTGTGCAATGGAAGCATGGTTTGTTGGACTCACTAGAAGTGATTTAATTAAAACATTAATAATCCATTCAAAGAAGAAATAGCTGGTAAAAAGTGGGCCAATCTATTTCTTAAACGGCACAAAACAAAACTGTTAGAAAGAAAGCCCACTGGAACATCTTACAGCAGGGTTCTTGGGTTCAATAAAGAAAATGCGCAGAAATTTTATCAGCTCCTTGAGGATTTGTACGTTAAATATGAATTTACTCCTGATAGAATCTATAACGTAGACGAGAGCGGAATTAGTGTGGTGCAGTCTAAAATACCCAAAGTTATAGGCCTTAAAGGTAAAAGGCAGATTGCTGCCCTGACATCAGGAGAACGTGGAGCCCTTATAACGATTGTTGCTTGTATGAATGCCACTGGCTTATTCGTACCTCCTTTAGTGATTTTTCCGAGAAAAAATATGAGTGAACAATTGAAAAAAGGAGCCCCATCAGGAACAATTTTTGCAGTGCATCCTTCAGGTTGGATTCAAATCAACTCCTTCACTCAATGGTTTAAGCACTTTATCGACTTTGTCCATCCTACAAAGGAGAAACCTGTGCTTTTACTCTTAGATGGCCATTATAGCCATACTCAAAATATTGAAGTGATCGATTTGGCAAGAACACACCATGTTACCATTGTGTCCATACCACCTCATTCCTCACACAAACTTCAACCTTTGGACAAAAGTTTCATGGGTTGTCTCAAAACTTACTACAGTGAGGAAATAAGGCAGTGGTTAAGAAACAATGAAAGGCCACTTACAGCTTATGATGTAATAGAGCTCTTTGGCAAAGCATACATTAAATGTCAAACAGCTGAAATTGCAATCAATGGGTTTAAAGCCGCAGGAATATACCCACTCAACAAGGAGCTCTTTTCTGATGCCGAATATATTGAAGAAGCAAACAAAATGCGAGATTCATCTTTCTACGAATCCATGTCAAATCAAAAAACGGCAGGTAATGAAAGCTCTACAGCGATTAGTGAAAAATGTGTTATGACGATGAATGAATCACAAGTTAATGCGGAGTTTTACCCGAATCAACCGTCAACATCTTCGGCAGGTCAAGGTAATCCTGTGTTACCATCTACATCTGACAATCCTCATAGTCCAAAATCGTCTATGATAAGCCCGTTTGAAATTACTCCTATTCCAAAAATCAAAAAAAGGACCACTAATAGGGAAGAAAAGCCTGCAGTTCAACAATCATCACAGCTTCTCCTTATAAATTCAAGTTAATGGAATCTAAAAAAGCTAAAAAAGCCATGAAAACTGAACAGCAAGAACGTGATCAAAGTTTCAAAGGCAACCGCGGCATAAAAGGTTGTTCGACAGCAGGCCCTTCTAGAAAAGGGAAAGAGATAGTAAAAAGATGTCTAGATTTTACGAAACAAGAATCAGACATAGAAGATGAAATCAGTGTCTCTTCTGGAATATCTGAATTTGACATTATTCCGGGAATGTCACCATCTAAAGAGGATGACGCTTTGTGCATGTTTTGTGACAGAAAATATTCGGAAGATTGTAAAGGCGAACTTTGGGTCTTGTGCATTATGTGTTCGTTGTGGGCTCATGTGGATTGTGCTGGGGCTGATAAGGATGCCTACATATGCGATTTTTGCAGATAAATTAATAATTTTGCTAAATATTTTTGTATATTTTATGTTTTTATATTCGAAATTGTTCCAATATACGTCTATTTAGAAAGTAGATCATGTTTTCTTTTATTTAATACTTTTTTTTCAATTATTGGTACAACTTTGTTAATAATTTTTAAGGGGGTCCACTTTTAGCAACTATTTTCCGAATTCACCAAAGGCTAGATTTTGGAAAATACATATTTTTTATATTAATTTTTAATTATTAATAATGAAAGTTTAGTATAAATGAATTATAACATTATGAAGTAAATGGTATGTACTTTTATAATATTTTTTTTGCTATTTTTCATACGCATGAATTGAAAAACAAAATGGGGGTCCAGTTTTAGGCATTTTCCTCTATATATATTTATATATATATATATATATATATATATATATATATATGTATGAGCAATAATTTGAAAACGAGATATTTATTTCAGAAAATCATGGTTTTTGTTACACAGTTAGAAAATAATTCGTTAAAAAGTTGGCTTTTTAAATATTGGTATGTAGATATTTCACTGATATTTAGGTTATGTTCTTAGAAGACCTCTTTCGGATATTCAGCACGACTTAATAGACCAGGGCGGATCTGGGAAAGACGATACGTTTGGATATGAGAGGTGGCATTCTGATTTTTGCACCAAAAATTGTCTGATAACTTCAGTAATGATAATTGACTTATCCGCCCGCTCAAATAGGTCGGGAACATTAATAAAAAATTAAAATATTTAAAAATTATTAAAAACATCGTTTTTTACTTTAACCCTTTCGTTCACGTGTCTTCAATTGAGGACAACCTATTTTTTAATGTTTTGTATGTAGTTCCATGTGCTTTTACCCTTGTAACACATTGTGCCCGATTATGGACATCCTATTCCGTCAAATGAGTGCTTGTGCTGCCATCTAACGGCTTTTGAACAAAATATTTCTTTTTCTTCTTCTTCTCGTAGCACTACAACCCGGGGTGGGTCCTGGCTGACTGCACAACTTGCTTCCATCTTGAACGGTCATCCATAATAGTTGGGTCAGTGATCTTGCCGTAAATCTATGAAGAGATTATGGATAGTTCTATTGAAATCACATTCTTTTTCAAGCAGCTGTCTTAGAGTAAAGATCTGATCTATGGTCGATCTATGTTTTGTGAAGCCGGCTTGGTATTCCCCATGAAAGTTTCTATAAACGGTGTCAGCTTACTTAATAGGATGTTCGATAAGATTTTATATGCCGTATTAAGTAAGGAGATTTCCCTTTTTTCACGCCCAACAGCGATATGTTTTGTCAAAACGGTGTCCATTTTTTTTTATGCTATTTTCCTTTATTTTTTATCCATATTCTTCGTTTATTCAAATAAATTTTTATTTAAATGATTTTAAAGACCTTTATTTTGTATCAGTATCTACAGAAAACTACATTGGGATGTATAACTTTAGAAAATTTAATATAATATAAGAATTTACTTACGGTAAGCGTTAGCTGTTACAGTCTTTCGATTGTTCAGTCTATCTGTAGCAGTAAGTTGTATGTCAGCATTGCAACATGAGTCACTGTATGTGCCTGTAACTTCTTCTTTGGTACCTGTGGTGAATCCTTCTTGAAATATCAAGCCTTTGGGATTTGATGTTAATTGTAATAAACCTAAAGAGAGAAGTTGTACTATACAGTTTAGGAAAAACAATTAAAAAAATTAATCGAAATCCGAAAACGTGATGAACTTACATACAGAGTGGCCCAAAAGTCTATAAACGACCAATTATCTCGTAAATTGCTAGTCATAATTTTTTAAAATTTGAGGTACACCTATTTTGGGATACTGAGATTCTATATTTGATATTTGCAATGTTGCCAGATTTACCGTTTCTCTTATATTATTAGTAACTTTGGTTTTTCAAATTCATCTCCCTGTATATTCAGTCATTATTGGACTCTCCTATTCAATACGAGTTCAACCATATGTAACATTTATGATTTTATGTAGTCTGGAAGGTCTTAAATACATAAAACAGAAGTCTGGCAACGCCTAATTGTCTCAAGAAATTTTTTAATATTAACTATTTTCAACTACATTAAAACGAAACAGTTGTTATATTACAACATTTTTTAATACAATGGTTACTTTATCAAGTGTTCAAAATGTGCTCCATTTGTGAATTGACCCTAATTGAGTACCCTAATCGATGGTAGAAAGCGTCTACCACATTTCTCTATGATTGTCTAGAAATTATTCGAGATTCATCGATAATTCGTTGCCTTAGCTCTGCAAGACTTGCTGGTGGAGTTTTGCAAATTGAATTTTTCAAGTATCCCCAACAAAAAGAATCTTTAGGATTGAAATCAGGTGAACGTGGAGGCTATTTAATTCTACCTCGTCTACCAATCCATCGTCCGAGAAATATCTCATCTTTACACCATCACCTTATATACCACCAAATGACCTGGAGCTCCTTCTTGCTGAAACCATATCTGATTAAAATTAGCCCCAAACAAGTTTTTCAGTGTAGGTACAATTTTATGTCTAAGTAAAATTTCGTAACTATGTGACGTTAAATTTCCTTCGATAAAAAATGGCCAAATTAACTGAGTACCTATTATATCTGACCATACATTTAATTTTTGTGCTCTTTGAGTATGGTTTTCACGCATTCAGTGTGGATTTACGTCACTCCAGTACCTTAAATTCTCGTCGATTTACACTTTTACACAGTGTAAAGGTTGCTTCATCGGAAAAACATATTCTGTTAACGCATTTTCATCATTTTCAATTTTATCCATCATTACCTCAGTAAACTCTAATCTACGGTCGAAATCATCGTCACTTACTTCTTGCAATAAGTTAATTTTGTATGGTTTAAATTTATTCTTAGGTAATATACATAAGACTGAAGAACGACCTACATCATGTACTTGTGTAACCCTACGTGAGGATATATGTGGATCTTCCACAAAAGTTTGCATTATATCTAGTTTCATTGTCATTCATAACTCTTTTCGGTCTACCTGATCAGTATCTAACTTTTGCTTCTCCAGATTCCTCAAATCGCTTTACAGTTTTTTGTACCGTAGTCTTATGAATAGGAGAACGGTTCGGGAAAGTATCATTGAACAAGTTGGCTACTTCACAATAAGATCTTTTTCTGTCACCGTACCCTCTCATCATTAGAATAGTAATTCGTTATTTTTCGTTAAGAGCCATTTTAGAAAAGCACTTTATCTTGCAGAACTTTTCGAAACACAAGTACTGTCGGTTTTAGTTAATAATGTAAGAGGTGAACAAATGTCACAATCACAGCATTCTACATTTAAATATTTAAAAATATCAAATATGGAATTTCTGTATCCCAAAATAGGTGTACCTCAAATTTTGAAAAATTATGACTAGCAATTTACGAGATAATTGGTCGTTACCAGACTTTTGGGTCACTCTGTATGTAAACATTCTATAAGGATTTATTATAAGGTTTTAGATGAATATAATGCTATGATTATCGTTTTATACCCTAGTCTAACTGTGAAAAAATCATCTATTTCACGTAAGAATCTTATACTAATATAATAAGTTTTTGAAAGTTCTATATTATGAGGGATATCTGATGACAAACCTTTAAAGACGTAGAGCTGATTTTGCTTTGTTTTTTTATCATCATAATAATAAAAAGTGAAAAAATCATGTCTGTAAAACGTTTCTTAGACATTTTAGAAAAAAAAGTGGTTCAAATAAAAGTTGTAGATCTTGAATTTACGAGTTTCTAAATGGAAAAACATAAACCATTGACCGAGATAGTTGCAAAAGCCTTTATTTTGCAGTAATTTATAAATTTTATTAACTTTGTTTTTTACTGGACGTGTACGAACTCACCACTTTATAGCCCCCCATAAAATTATTAGACCCTCCAAGATACAGCAAACTGATCACCGGCATCCTTTGAAGATAGGTAAACTCATCACCGCAGATAGGTAAACTCATCACCAACATTATTCCCTCAAGCGCTGGTTTCTAATGCAAAAGATTGTCTGTTAACTGTTATATTTCTTGTTTATGTGGTAATCTATTAAATTCAGAAATTTTTTTAAGAAAATTGCTTTTTGCTATTTATCAATATCGGGTGTCTCTCGGTGGTAGGTAGTTATCAATACCGTTTAGTGGAATTCCCTAATTCTTTGCATTTGCATTTAATACGTCCGGAATTGCATTATTCTTATAAATTATCAAACCTTTGCGGTTTGCAAACATTTTATGGTCTGTACCAGCCGTGGGGTGCAGGTAGGCCAGTGATCAGTTTGCAAATCACTCCGGGCCTATCTTAAAATCCCTGCTTTTATCGTGGTGATAAGTTTGTATTATCTACGAGGGCATTTATGCTCATTGGTGATGAGTTTACGTGTACCCTAAAGACTACATATACTTCCCCAAACAGTGACTCTAGAGCAGTAAAGGTGAAACTTTTCTTTGTTGTACCAATATTTACTAAAGAAATATATGGCGGGCCAAGCTGTTGCATTTTTGGTTATGTTGTTTGCTGAAATAAAAATATTAATTTTTCGGAAACACTTTTATTGTGCAATATTGCAAAATAAACGATTGAAATACAAAAGCAATCGTAGCTAACTAAATTAAAATTTTTGTTAGCTCTGAAGTAGAAGGTAGGCAGAACTAGACTTTGTGGGGATATGTGACATGTGGAACTGTTTGTATTTTTACATGATTCCATCATAATTCTGCCGCATTTGTGAGGCTGAAAATTTTAGTAATGAACAAAGGTCCGACAGCCTATTACGAATACAATTTTTTCTTAGTTTCAGTATTGAAAATGTTCGCATAAATAACTTGTACCAAATATAGCCATTATGTGTTGGGCAACTAGATTTGAGTATTTTATCCTAGATATGGCCGTATAAAGTTCCAATTTGCTACTATTAAAACAAGTTGCTTCAAATGGGTGTTGCATTGGATATCTATTAGTTCAAGTTGAAGATTAGCGGGCGTTTCATCGACGTTGACAATAAAATGCATGGAAAAAAATGTTAAGCCAGTGTTCAATTTCCTTAAAATCTAGAAATCTCTTCTCAAATTCCTCATGCAGTTTCTTCAGGTGTTGACCGAACCTTTGTAAGTTTTTTTCTGAGACAGGTGTCATACTGTACTTTTTGGGAAAATGAGCGAGTTATTTTTCTCTATATATCGGGAAAATAATTTAAGCTGCAATGTGAAGGCTTTTAAATGTCCCCAAAGCTCATTTAAGAATTGATTCTTGCCTTGAAGCTTCGTATTTAATTTATTTAGGTGTGACAGCAAATCACCATTTGATTTGCTCTGTCAAAAAGTATTGAATCCTTATCCGTAAATTCCGTAATCTCTCAAATGCGTTATCAGAAAATTTTTGGTTTCGGTGGATTTTAAAAACTCTTGGAATTGTCTGTGCATCAATCCTCTCGAAGGTATTTTGTTTATAAGTTCAACAACCACGCTGAGTACGGGTTGTATGTTAAGAGCTGCTTTACCTAACACATCCTGGTATATTAAGCAGTGTAGAAATAATACATTGCAAGCTTGCCAATTTTTCGGTAGTATTGAACTCTTCTAATAAAAATCAGCAACTGCACAGGATCATCCACGTTTGTGCTCTTTCCATGGGTATTGAAAAGTATTAAAAGCTTTTGCATTTTTCTTACAACTCTGACGATAACTACAGCGATAATGTCAATGCGATCAGTTATCGTCCCTCGTGATAAACTACTTTTTTCTGGAAAAATAATTTTCTTAGAGCTACCATGCATTTTTTTACGAATTCACCATGCGATAATGTCGTGTTATTTTTAACAATTTTTTAAGTTACAACATAACTTGCCAGTGCTGCAGCCTTGTGAGTATCAGATTGCTTCGTAAACATGTTTTGGTGCCCACTTAACTTTTTTGCCATTCAATGCCATTCTTCCTTAAAAACTCGACACTCAGAATCAATTTTGAGTTTTTTAGTCGTGATTTTGCTGCTGTAATAATTGCTGTGTATTAATTTTATCCTTATGCGATTTACTTAAGTATGTCAAATTTTAGCATAATCCGTTGAAGATATCTGCTTCAAAATTGAGTCGCAACATTTTACCTAGACAAAAGGTACATACCTACATACGTTGCAAGTTAAATAAAAGCTTTTAAAAACACAAGTTATTAAATTTAGATTAGTCATATGAACAACCTGTATTCAGATTTTATAAGTACGTATAAAAGAACATCTTACCCTGCCGATTCCGAACCAAATATGGCATTCCAAACAATGGCCTGAAGAATGGACAAAATCTACAATAACGACCATACATAAAAAAGGCAGCTTCCATAAATGCGACAATTATAGAACTATCTCTCTTATATCCCATGCCAGCAAGATAATGCTACATATAATCAATGAGAGACTGAAAACATTCCTTCAAAGAGAAATTCCACAAGAGCAAACTGGATTTACCAAAGGTAGAGGCACTCGAGAACACCTGCTGAATATAAGACAGATAATCGAGAAATCTAGGGAATTCAACATCCCACTATACATCTGTTTTATAGATTACCGTAAAGCGTTCGACAGGGTCAAGTGGAGATACTTATGGCGAATACTAAAAGAAGTAGGCGTACCACAACATCTAATTAC